TAAGGACACTAGCAACAGACCTTGCTAATTTTGCTTTATTTAGGATTTAACAGCAGTCACCATCCTTTCCAAGCTGTGTTGACAGAAATATATTCAAAACCAGAATGACTTGCAGCATGGAAACTGCTGCGCTCCTACAGGGCAGGCACTGGTTTCCATTGTTCGGATGTGTAACTCTGGTTGACACGTCTTCACTGACCTTTGATGCAATCATCTGGGATTTTGCACAGCATGTGTCATGTTTCCATAGTTTTGTGTTTTGTTTTGGAGAGGCTTGTGATGGCGTTTCATCCTTTTAGTTGAAGTAATTCCTTGCTTTATGGTAAGGGTTGTGTAACCTGAGGAAAGAGGAGGTTGTGGGAAGGCTCTTTGTTCTCTGGATCACAAGCTCTCTTTCATTCCTTACTGATGTTACCTGCAGCCCATCTGGCCAGCAGTCATCCAACAACAATGGTTTAGACATAACAGCCTTGGCCGATACCCTGCAGAAAGGTGCAGCTCTGACTTGCTCGGGTGCCTCCTGAAATCAAGGGGACTGGCCCTGTCCTGMGGCTGCTTGCAGCCTGGGTTACCTGTGACAGGAGCCAATGAGTCTTAAGTTGCGAGTTTTCCTGAGATTCAAGTTCCTTCTTTTTCAACTAAAGGAATGGTTTGTGTAGAATTACTTAGCTCATTGGATCTACTAATATTGCTTATAAACAGATAAGGAAGATGCCCAAAAAAAGAGTTGAATGAATGTAGAAGTAGCTGACTATGGTGTTAGTGTAGCAACGTGAAATTCTCTAGAACAAGACCTTGGCTCACTCTACTGTTGCTAAAGTAAATTTTATGTGGAAATGTTTGAAGCAAAATTCTGGCTTGTGATTCAAGGCCATGATATTGACTTTTAGTAGTTACTTGCACAGGCATGGTACACAACTATTTCACAAAACCAGTTTCAAAGCAGGGAATGGGTTGCTATCTAAAGGTCATTAATTGGCGTTTGCTGACAATGTATTGGAAAACCTTATCTTCTTAAAAAAAGTAAATTGAACTTTCAGATACGATGTGAGCACCATGCTTTTTTCTCAAGGCTGTTCATTTTTTAACATAAATTGATTTTTAAACATCTATTATTTATATAACATRTAGTAGTATAAAATATTATTTAAGWAATATCAACACATTTTGTGTGAAGGAGAGAAGTCTTTGGGTATTACTCAGATTTCAGGGAAAGGAAAGAAATTTTTTCCATTTTGAACTGTAATAATTTCCATA